CACGATGGCGTGTATTTCGATACTTGGAGTATGTATTATACTATCTTATCTGAGATTAATCAGTGGACCTTTCTGTTTTCAAATGAGTAATAGTATTAAATATAATAAATCAATATAAATTCATCTACATTTAAACAGCTTTCTCTATTTTAAATTTTTGCTAAACAATATTCGTAAACTAGGAATACTCCCTCAAGAATCAGAATAAGGTTGCGCATTGTCTGTGATTGACTTTATATGCAATGGCCAACGCAAAAAATGGCCTAGAGCCATTCTTTCTGAAATAGATATGTAAGTTTTATTAATCCTAGAAAATAGGAGATTAAATAAATAGGTTTTAGATGTAGCAGCATTAGAATAGGAGATTGTTATGTTGAGATAACCTAAAGAATATATTATAATAAATGATGTCAACTGTGCTATTTGCATTGTAAAATTATTGATCTTTATTTTGTCATCATAAGTACGCTTCTATTTTCATCCAGGAAGGATGCATGATATTAATAAATCGTCATCATGGGCATTGTTATTTAACCTCTTTTATAAGGTTCAAAAAAAGACTAAAATACTAGAACAGAAAACTATGACTCTATGGTTGTGATTTTTTTAATGGGGTCAAAAACCTCAAATAATATATTTCCCTATAGTTTGGCATAAATTTCATGAATAATATTAATTGCTTAAACCATACGATTGCTATTTTTATATCTTGACCCTTTTTAAGAATTTTAAATTGTCTGTTTTATAACCTACTTTAATTATAGATACTGTTTCTTTTTATTAAGTTAAGTAATTTTGAGTAATCATATTTTTTGCACTTGGAAAAATGCCAGCTTCATTTCACCATTGAACGTTGTGTCCTGCTGTGGATGTAGGCACTTTATAAATGCTTGTCGATTGATTGATTGATTGATGGACCCTGAAAATGTATGTTTACACACACATTAAATTATTAAGTAATTTGAGTAATCATATTTTTTCACTTGGAGAAATGCCGTCATTTTGCCATTGAACGTTGTGTTCTGCTATGGATGTAGGCACTTTATAAAGGCCTGTCGATTGATTGATTGATTGACCCTGAAAATGTATATTTACATACAAAATTTTTTTAAATGACCGAGATGAGATGATGTTGATTTTTAGATGTTAATTCATATGGTAGCCATTTTGATAACTCAAGATGGCTGCCATAAAGACTTCACATAAAGGGGCACCAATCAAAGTTTAAAAAAAAAATTTGTGTCCCCATCCAAAAATATTAATTTGTATGTTAACGGTTGGCTAAATTTTCCAAAACAGCTACTGCATAATATTGTTTAATATGAAAGTTCATACATGTATGTTAAGTAATTCATTACTACTATTATTATTTTTCTGTATGTATGGATAATTAAATAACCTAACTTCAAGATGTGCCCACACTGTAAGGTTTAATGTGACATAGTACCTGTGATTTGCCCATATATGAGTATTATATGACAATGTCATGCGCATATATGGCATGTTGTATGACATCATCATGCCCATATATAGATGTAATATGACATAATGCCCATATACAGGCAAATCACAAGTGACAGTTACATCTAGTCTAAATTTGTTTCAAAATTCCATTAAGATAATTATAGAAAAAAAAAATTACAAGTAAATTTATTCTTTTCTATTTTAGACTTGAAACATTTGAAGAAGAAATGATAACGAAGGGAATCAAATTGATCATAGTTGATTCCATTGCATCTTTAGTGCGGAAAGAATTTGACAACAGGCTATACGGAAACCTGCTTAAACGGACAAATCTTCTAGCAAAACAGGCAGCAATTCTTAAAAATCTAGCCGAGAATTTCTCCATACCGGTAAGTTTACCAATGCTTGTGCATGGATAATTGAGCTTGGTTTATTTGCGCAAGGCATTGAACGAAAATTTCATTTTCTGTTTAAATCTAAGTGATATTCTGCGGAATGTATGCCGTTGCTCTATATGTCTTGTGTACGCATTGTGTTTCATCAATTAAGGAGTAGAGCATTTGAGCCGTAGAATGCTGTGTGACAGCTTTTTACAGCTTAACTTTGAAATGTTTCTTTTATTCCATTTTGTCAGAATCTCAACAAACTTCCATTCTCAGATTTCTGGCTATATAATAATGAAGAATACATTAAAAGGAAACTAGCAAAATCATCTTTTTTTTCTAGAGGGGATATTCACTGGCAAAAAAGTAACAAAAGATCGTGCCGCATAGGGTATCCGTCGCATGCGATCTTTGGGTGCATGCTGTAACCAAAAAATTATTTTGTTAGTTCCCTTTTAACATCTATTTGCAACTAGTGAATACAGTCAATATTTTTTTTGTTTCCAGTTTTCTCTTGGGGTTTTTTCGCTGATTTATTTGCAAATTATATTCCTTGTAATTTAAATTTTTTTTCTTGCATATGAAATTTATTTTTTAATATGTGCTTTCAGTAGTGATGTATGAACAATCAATATGAATTTCCCAAAAGGTGTTTGATTTCGGTACGTTTATAATTAGTTCACATTCGCAGAACTTTGTATGTGAACCTGTTGAAGTTGATGTTTAGTTTCTATATCAATGTATTATTTACAGTATTCAACAAAACTCATCTTGTTTATGATAAAATGACAAGGACTTGCAGAAAACTTAAAATAGTTTATCTTGAGGGTGCTTGTCTTTATACTTTGACATTCATGTTTCAGATTTAAGCAGTGAAAACCCCACAAAATATATAAGAACAGATATGTGTAGCCAGTTTTACATACAACGTAATAGAAAAAAAGTTTATTGTGCGAATGTGTGATGAACACATTCCCCAGTGGATTATCTGGTGAAGAAATCCACTCGAAAAATTAAGGTTTATATAGAAGATTGTGGCTAAGAAATTATACTAAATCAAACGCAGAAACTGTACTACTATATTTTTTGAAAATTTTTTTTAGCCAGGGTATGCACTGCATACCTTGCTTGCCTTGACGGTCTGCCACTGTTGACATGTCATGTAATACTTTGCGTGCCTACGGACACATACCGATTTCAGTGGCAGGGGACAAACTCTGCTGTTTTCCTCCCACATAATAACATATCACTCAATGTATGTCAGTCTTACTATATATTATTATTTTACTTGTCTAATCTCACTGCTTTTACCATTATTAGTTACAGTGTAAGTAAGACTTTACTAACATTTCTTGGCTCTAGCTTTCATCCACACAGTGGACTCCTAACAGCAAGTGGGATAAGTAACATCTATAATAAATATACATTAATTAGAGATAAAGGGGGTGGGGGGATGCGATACTATAACAACAAAATATGCAAATGTGGTGGACAACACATCTAGTCTGCAGAAATAAACAACCCTAAACAATATTATTTTATTGTGGAGAGAAAATCATTGTAAAAAAATGGGAAATAACATGTCCGAAAGGGGGATTGAAAGTGGGTCTAGGGGGTCTGCGCATTCCCAAGCAAAATTTTTGTTTTCTAGGCTTTCGAAAATAAGCTCAGTCGTTTTGGGCGATCAGTTATTTCTTTTTTCTTTTTTACTTTTTTTTTTAACTTTCCAAATGGGAGAGGGGGGACAGGGCCATCACAGCCCCCACCCCCTAAATCTGCCCCTGAATATAGCATTAGGGGATGCTCAAGTCAATATATTTTACCATTATTGAATATTCAAAATTATTTTAACTTAATCTTTGACTGTATTGGGTAATGGAAGGCATGTTTCTGTACTGTAATTTTCCTATTCTTGTATTTAAAAAATAAAGTAAGTGGAACGTTGCACTAGCTACAGAGTTCCAAAGGGCTTAATGACCTGCAAGGTTTTAGTAGCTGTGTCATATCAAGGGTGTAGTATGTAGTATGGTGGTACAAGTCCTTTTCCAACCCCTCCAAGAAAAAATTCGCAGAGTGTTGCATGTCACATTATGCTGTACAAGAGTGCTGGTCTGCCTGAATTGGAGCTGTAATTATATCTTGCATTATGTAACTTGTGTTGCCAGCGATATAAAATATGATTACCTGGCTTTAAGATGTGTCCACACTGTAAGGTTTAATGTCACACAATACCATATATGGGTATGATATGATACCATCATGCCCATATATAATATGATATGTTCATACTGTATATGGGCAAATTACATTAGTTTTGAAATAAAATTGTATGGTGTGAACAGAACTTTAATTTGGTATTTCTAAGATTTTAACCAACCACCCTCAATTAGAATGTGAGCACCTCACCTAAAAATGTACAGATCCAAGTTTTCCTCCGACAACAATGCACTACATATATATATTTCTTGAAACATTCTGACATGCTTATGAATATATATTCAAGTTACTAACGTTAACTGCCGCTCAAAATTGCACATGCGCAAGTGTTCACTTGCTATAATGTTTCGCTATGTCTACTGTACATTACGAATCATAAACTGTTTTACATTGCAAATATATTTTGCCATGAATCCATTTATGATGTCATCTTTGACCTTTCAAAAGATTATGTGACAACTTAAAACTGCATTTTTTGGCTGACAATTCAAACAGAAATATTGATTCTACTTATTAATGTAATGTATTTCATTTGTTAATCTAAATTGTGTTCACAAAAAATATGGATTTATAAGTGAATATACTTAACTTTTAAATCTTGATATTGTAATGTGCTTGGTAGTATTATTATTGATATTATCTTTTTATTAATAATATATATATTTTTGTTTTTACTTTTATATCATAATCCTTACCATCAACATCATCATTGTCATCATTACCATGATCAACCATCCTCATCCTCATCATTCTTACCCTAATCATCATCATCATCATCATCATCATCATCCTCATCATCACCACCATCATCATTATTATAACCGATTATTGTTGTATCAACATTATTATTGAAATATTACTATTGATATTATTAATTTATTATATTAATATTATTCTTTTTGTGGTTAATATTATTTTTATAATTATTGTTGTTATTCAGGCTCTTAGTATTTTTCTCATTACAAAATCAACTCCTACCTTCATCCTAAGGCAAAGCATATCACATAGATGTAAAATAACATAAAAAATGAAGCCAACCTCAACAAGGTGACTCTGGGCCAAATTTGCTAAAGTGTAGTAGTAGCCGAAAATCACAATATGCCGATTCCAAAGCTTGATCCTCCTGGACATATTGGCTATGTTCTCACACGGCAGCTAACGGTTTAAGCAGAATCCGAAGATTCCGATCCAGATACCAAGTATATGATGATCGAATCACTGGCCAATAAGAAACTGGAAATCGTAAATGTGTACGTGTGATTGGTTGATAATAGGAACGCGCTCAACTTGCCAACCGATAGCGCTTGCTAACCGTTAGCGGTATCCGGATGTTCTCACACAGGTGCTAACGGTTAGCTCCCGATCCGGATACTAGGGCTCTCGTGAGAACCAGGCTATTATTTTTTTCCCAACATGAGGTTAGTGAATAGTCACTAACTACATATCACAGACAGACTAACCAACGAGTGGTGATATTCAGGTACAAGTTGTACTAAAGGTAAAGGTTGGAGAATAATAGATAAGTTGCAGCGCCAGACAATAATTTAAAACGCAGCCTATCATCATACAGAGGTGCTAAATTATGGAATAAACTTAGTGATGACCTGAAAAACTCAAATACAATTTCTAATTTTAAAATGAAAAAATAGAAGTATTACAGTTAATGATGTAGTGTACAGTATATACTGTAGCCTTGCTGTTGTGTTGACAGTCATTTCTTCATTTGGTTTTTTTTTCATGTTGGATGCTTTGGGGTTGCCAAACATTGTATAGGAACTTTGTTCCTTTGTTATTGTTTTTGAGGAAATTAAAATATTATTATTATTATTTAAGATAATTCAGTTATAATTAATGTTAAGTTTCATTCTGTAATGTGATTTTCTTTTGTAATTTGTATATTTTTACCATTTTATTTTAATTTCTGTTTTGTTGATTTGCACAATGTCTTTTACGGCCTTGTTGAAAAACACCGTTGAGGTGAACAAGTATTTCCGTAGTTAAATAAAGTTATTATTATTATTATTATTATTATCTTCTAATCCCAGGGTCCTGGGTTTGATTCCTGTAACAACAGGACTTTTTCTCACTGCTAAAAACTTATAAGCCTTATGAAGAGACTTCACTGATAAAAGCATCACATTACTTGGTTTATTTAAGAGGGCCCTGAATATCGGCTGGCCTTCTTGGATTAAGCTAGAATGATTCACCCTCTATAAATATGGTTAAAAACATTTTTTTTAAATAGTAATTTTATTATAGATTTTGAATGAATTTGAGTGTGGTATTTTTGCATCTGTTATTCTGTGAGAAACATATTTTCTTTGTGAAAATTTTTATTTCAAAGCTAACTACCTAAATATGCAAAGCAATTGAAATGTTGAATTTTATCTTTCAATTTTATTAGCTAATCACAGACAATATCTTGAAATCATGACCTAGATAGATTCAAATTAAATCATGAATTCTCATGGAAAATAATCGCAGAATGAATTTGTTTCTCATTCGCAAACTGTTTTGTAATGTCTCTGGCATTCGATTATTTAATGGTATGCTTTTATTAAAATGGATATTTTAGTGAATGCGTAATAAATGTTACCGTTTCCTTGCCTAATCCCTTAATGGGACCGAGAGAGAGGTGTGATTTTGTCTCTGCTTTAAATGCTCTGTAAGACTTCTTAATACATGCCTTGCTGTGGCAAAAACCACCTCTATTCTACATATGTTTATGTTCAGTATTTAAAAAAAACTATATAATACTGCTAAATATATAAAAACATAAACACTTAATTTAAAATAAACAAATGTTTAACCACTTAAAGCAATATTTTGAGATACAGCATACAATTTGTTATCTCTTAATATAACATAATAGAATATAATAAAGTCATAATTGAGAAGTGTGATCATTATTAACATGCAGTTTATATTAAAATTAATAATATAGGTGGGAATACTAAAGTATATTCAACTTTCAATTCTTAGCTTAAGTTTAGCTTTAGGTGTCATTGTTTACCTAGGAGTATGTGTAACATAAGCTCAGATTTATCAGTGCACTATGTTAATTTCCAAGTGATACTATCTTTGTTTTTATTATTATTATTTTTGTTGTTGCGGTCGCAAAAGTAATCCTAATCATTTTCCTTGTGGACTGTTCCATAATGGCTCAAATAGTTAATAAATGAATTGAGCTAATCTCAATGTGGGCAAGGATTTTAACGTTGGTAGTAATATCTTAAATGATGAATTGTAGTGGCCACTTACACTAGTCATTTATGTGATCATTTTCAAATGGAGCCATAAATCAATTAAGATGTGTAAAATGATTGGTATGTGATTCAATTAGCTAAAATCTCATGCATCAGGCTGAGTTCACTGGTTGGATATCACCTGTGTTTGTATAGTGTTAAGTGAAATGTTTGTCCTTTCGTGTTGATCCCTGTAGGCTATCCCTCTAGACTTTAATCGAATTGATCGCCGGAGTTGCTGGTTCCGAGTAGGTATCGGAGTGCTAAGAGCGTATGAAACCCTATAATTGGTCAAGATACACGCAGCTAGTCACGACTGGTATACTTTAGTAATTAAGCTGTGGTTAAACACAAGAATGACATTTTCTGAGTCTAAACCATCATCTGATGTAGGTCTGAGTACAATTGTGTATAGTTATCTCAGTCTGGTCCAGTCATACCAACAACCTTTGTGTTTAAATTCTGTACTGCCCTTTGATTACTGTACATTATGTCAAGATTGTGCAAAATTCCAGGATTTAATTTTTTGCATTTATAACTTCATTCTTCCTACTGGGAAGTCTTAATGTAAAGCTATATACATGTTAATCAAATTTTTCTTGACAAAAACTGTTGTATGCCCATATATAGTCATGATGTCCCTATATATGGTCATGATGTGATGTCATTATGACCATATTTAGGCATGTAACATTTTTTTGTCAAATAAAAGTTGATATTCTTGACAAAGCTTAAAGTGTTACATAGATTATTGCATTTTTGAAGTAAATATTTACTGCTTGACTGAAAATATAGAAAAAATATTAAAAAATTAAAAAAAATGTATTATTTAATTAAAAGTAACATAAAGTTGTATGCTTTAAAGAAATATTTTTCTAATGATGATAGTGATAATATTAATGTTAATAATATCAATAATACCAGGGAACAGTGAAATAATTCACTGTTCCCTGATAATAAGGTAATAGAAAGAACAATGTCAAATTGATTAAGTATCCAGAATAAAGAAAGATTTCTATCTATCTATAATAAAAATGACAATGATGATAACATTTTGTTGGCAATGTCATGTTTACAATGGAAGTGAACATGCATGAACTTTGAGTATTGACGCTTAATATTTATTATTATTATGAGTTGTTCATTGCTGAGTCAAGTTGCATAACATCTGCGTCAGGTATGTTTTGTTAAAATCACCAATTAGTATTAATGGGTCCTCCATAGTTTACTCCAGTTACATCTGCTCAATAAGAATGTGAATATGCCTGGAATCCATAACCAGACTTATTAAGATTTCTCCTTGTAACAAATATTAATATATCGCAGTGCTATCAGATTCTGGGGCACGTCATACCAAACCTCAGCTGTCTGTCGGTTTTAAATAACAAGCGATATCTTGTACCCTGTGCGCGCTGAACTCTATGGAACACACTGCACTATCTAAATTTAAGGTGGAAGTCCCAAATCAGGCCAGCCTACATGTGATCATGCTATGAATATGAATATCCTGTGCTGGCCTTCCTATGATTGGTTGTGATGTACTATGCAGTTTATTTGACAAAAGCATATGACATGCCTATATATGGTCATGTTGATATCACATCATGACCCTATATAGGCACATCATGACTATATATGGGCATACAACAGTTTTTTGTCAAAGAAAATTTTGACAATCTGGACAGGGCTTAAAAATGCATAGGATCATGTGACAATCATGTGACATATTTGAACTGTCTCTTTAATGCGTATTTGTCACAGACATGTCTGTTCGCCACCTCATCCTATCTTTACTCCGACGACTATTGGCCATCTGTGTTTTTGCCTGAAGACTTCTCGGTATCTGTCCATTATCGGAAAGGTTAGATACACAGAAATAAGATATCAATGACATTTCAGAGAGTATTAATACTGGTACATCTTCCAAGGACAGGCTATTTTTGCACTCTTTTAATACACTGGTACTTTTTGTTGCTGGTTATCAGAGATTTTAAATCAAGCAGAAATATAAATTTAGCTTTTGAAAGTTATCGAACCTTAGTGCCCCAAGATGAGAAGCCAGTCATTATTAACCACAAAACGTCGGAGAAATTCCACGCTTTTATTACCTGTTCAAATTTGTTTTGGCTATCTCGCATTTTACATAGAATAAATCAACAGAAAGTATATAAAATGTTACTAGAAATCGTGGGTACAATTCCCACCTTCTTTATTTGCAATTTTTTAAAACATTTATTTTGGGATGTGAATATTCAGCGCAATAATATCATGTTGTGTAAATTATCATTTCCATTAATATCATTTATTTCCAGGGCCATTGATTAACATGTGGTACTCTTGGCTCTTGTAGGTTGTCATTAGTACTGGTAATGTAAATATGAGCTAAAATTCATATTCACAAAGTAGATTGTAAAACCAAGGGTATTGTAATGATAATGTTGATGTGAATAATAAAAGTGCATGTAACTACATTACTGAATAACAATATTAATATTGCTTGTAGTTAATTGTACAGTATAGCAGCTATTGATTACTTTAAAAACACAATTATTTCACTCTCTTTGAATATTTCAGTTGCATTGATGTTCATTGTGAATGTACAATAAGTGGATTTAACTTCCTTTTATCTATTAATTTCATTGTTATTTTATAGTATTTGTGATGATAATACTATTTTGCATACCTAACAATAACAATAGAAGATAAGGTAGACAGCACTTGAAAGAATAGCAAACTTGATTGTTGAATAATTAGACTAACACGATACAAAATGAAATTGAGGATGGAAATAAGTTGTTTTTGTGTAACTATTCAATAGTTGTTTAATTTAGACATCTAAATACAAAATGCTATGGCTTGAGGGGATTCACTTCAAGATCCCCTCCGAGACCTGCCACTCTACCACCCCTTATTTCATCCTAATGCCCCACCATTTGGCCCCAGAAGCTGCACTGCTCTGAGGCCTTGGTCTATTCTTGTGGCTACACTGAGACTATATTGAAAACCAATTGAAGAAATCAAAGTAGTGGGGAAAGCTGGTTGAAGATCTTATGATAGAGGTTTTAAAAAAAACAAAGGTAGAGGTCATGGAAGAGAAAGCTTGTTGGATGAGCTTATGGTATCAAGAAGGAGGGAGTGGAAGTAAGCCATGCTAGTGGATGAAGAACCTACTGTATGGTTGATAAGAAAGCAAGTAGAAAAAGCAAAGTTAGTAGAGAAAGCTTGGAAAATCTTTTGGTAGAGAAGAGAAGTAGATAGCAGCATGGTAGTGGTGAGAGGTTGCTGAAGAACCTACTGTATGATAAATGAGGGGAAAAATGTATGATCTTATGTTAAAAGTTAATGAAAGAGACCAAGGTAGTGGAGTATGGTAGAGAAGAAAAGCTTGTTAAAGATCTTATGAGGCAGCTAGAAAAAAAAAAAAAAAACTGTGATGGTGAGGGAAAGCTTGGTGACGAATCTGTAGTAAAAATAAGGGCAAGCAAAACGGGCCAAGGTATTTGGAAGTTTTCTGAAGAACTTATAGAGGAAAAAGAGTGCAGGTTATTTGAGAAAGCTGGTTGAAGAACTTACTTCAGATGAAAGAACAACTGTTGTATTGAAGATTGCACTACAACTTAATAATTTTTGCTTAATATTTCTCTTCTAAAATTTATTTAATATTAATGTTGTTTTTTTTGTATGTTTCCATAAAACATAAAAGCAAATTTCATATATTTATAATATGAAATTGGCTTTGTTTGAAATATAAATATTAGTATTTCCATACGTGCGATTTTTTTCATGTCAGCCAATTTCAGTAAATCCAACAATGAATCTGGATAAGAATATTATGTATGTTTTTACAACATTTCATATGATGTGTATGGAAATAAAATGAATCAGGATTGGAATCTATTCGCATGTGTACAACTCTCATGTCCTTAAATTAAATTATGAAATAATTCAATAAAGCCTGAAAGTGTTTATCGATGTCCAATACTAACCACGACTACTAGCTTTTATTTAATTTTATAAATTGCATGTTAACGCCATTTTGCGAGTACGGCTCTAAAAAATCAGTGCAACTTTTACACGTCTCATTTTATGCACCTCTTCGTTGAAAGCTTTCAGGTGATAGAAAATTGATTGAGAAAGTAGATTGTTTCAATTTAGAGAAAACAGTTGAGGGAAGGTGATGGATTTTGGTAACTACACTTCGTTGAAGGTATTATTATTAGGATCGTGTTTAAGAAAAAGGTTTTTGTTATTAATGAGACTAGAGTATTTTCTAGATTGAATTGAAGGAAAACAAAATATTATGTTAATTTCTTGTCTACAGGAAGTTAGAATAAACTACCAAATAGATGATAAATAAGTTATATAAACTTTCATCAAATTCTGATTTTTTTCATGTGGTGTATTTTATTGTATGTGTTGCTGGACCATAGAGAATAACAATGCTTTTTGCACTGATTAGGGTCACCCAGGGTAAAGATTAAATAAATAAAATAAAACAAAATATAGTAACTAGGTTTTTATTGATATTTAGATTTCTTACTTACACACATATCATTAAATTTAATAGGAACCATATATATGCTTAGCTTTTAGTAATTTGCAAACAAACTTTAGATCAGTCCACACTGTCAAATTGAATGGACAAATAAATGTGATATGCCCATATATAGGCATATCACATTTATTTGTAATATACAATTTGATAGTATGGTCAAATTTTTATACGACATCATTAAGCAATATTATATTTTAATGTTGTTAACTCTACAGTACAAGCACTCAGGCAGTATGATACATCTTTAAAACTAGGGAGTTTTAAAAAAAAACCAGACTATCAAATTTTATCGGACAAGAACATGTGACATACCAAAATATGAACTTGATGACATCACATGTATTGATAATTTAAATGTTTTTGAATTCTATATCTTGATCTTGTGGAAGAACAATTATTTAATCGAACAAGTTTATTTGTACTGTACTTTCTGTGCTTTTATTTTTGAGTCGAAAAAAGTTTTATTCTAAACATGAATATTTCAATCCGTCCTTGGGTCTTCAGCATGTGTGAAAAACAAAATATAAGTTGGCTATTACAATAATTATGATAAAAAGTAAAGTATAATATGATTGGTCGACATTTTAATAGAATATAATGAACATGGTGATTGGACAAAAAAACTAAGGGGCGGAGTAAGAATAGAAAAAATTAACAGATAAATTAATTGGTCACTGTAATAATAATGAAGCTAATATCAGTGTGGGAATACAGATCTCAGTCGGTAATAACAAAGATGGAAATAAACAATGAATACATCATCACTATATACAGGGCTGGATAAAGTGTGCGACCAGCGGTCGGAGGCATTGACCTTTAACCTAGAGGCATTTAACAATTTTTTTTTTTTTGCACTTCACAATTCAATGCTTAAAATAATATTTTTGCTTGCTCCAAACTATTAAATGTACTACTGTTCCGCTATAATAGTGTAAAGATAACGTTTGTTCCTGGAGCCATTTGATCAAGAGAATATTCATGGTTGGACGCACAAAAATTTTTTTCCAGGCCTGACTATATATGGGCATATTACAGTTTTACTTGTATAAAAATTGTTTAGTATTTATGGTGTTAATCTTTTTAGTATTTTATAAATATCATGGCCTTGTAGAAGAACACCTTCTGGTGATACAAGCTTTTCCGTGTTTAAACAAAGCCTTTATTATTATTATTATTTTTATTATTATTATTATTATTATTTATTATTATTATTATTGT